AACAAATCTACTACTACTACTACTGCTACTACTACTACTACTACTACTACTTCTACTACTTCTACTACTACTACTACTACTACTTCTACTACTACTACTACTACTACTTCTACTACTTCTACTACTACTACTACTACTACTACTGGAGCGGTCAGGTAGCCTAGTGGTTAAAGCGTTCGCTCGTCACGCCGAAGACCCGGGTTTGATTTCCGACATGGGTACAATGTGTGAAGCCCATTTCTGGTGTCCCCCGCCGTGATATTGCTGGAATATTGCTAAAAGCGGCTTAAAACCAAACTCACTCACTCACTCACTATCATACAGCTACTTCCACTGAGCCACCATGGTCCAGTGGATAGAGTGTCTGTCTGGAGAGTGAAGGTCAGTGTTTTGATCCCTTGCCGCATCATGATTCGAATTCTGGTTTTCCACCATCATGTTTCTAGAAATGGTTGATGCATGTCAACGATCCCAATTGCATGGATCGACGCTCATGATATCAATCACTGAATTGTCTGGTCCAGACTCTATTATTTACAGACCGTCGTCATATAGCTGGAATATTGCTGAGTGCGCCGTTAAACAACAAACCAACAAACCAACAAACCAACCAACCAATGGCATGGGACGTTGCCCCTAGTATCAATCACTGGTTTGTCTGGCCCATATAGCTGGATCATTACCCTACCCAGCAGGTGCCCTTTTGACCTACTTTTTGACAGCATTTTCAAGCATTTCAAAAATGCAACTTCCATATGTCTTTATTCACAACTCAGAGATGTGACAGGAAGCAGACCTAAGTAAGGATAAGATGTATGGATGAGCAACTTCTTTATTACAATTAGGAGCGACCTTTTGGTGTAGGTTCTAACACCCTTATCAACAGGTGCTTTTTAAAGATGAAGAAAGTTGAACAGCAACCAGCACTAAATGAAAACACTTATCTACAAATATATAATATTGTAAATTTAGGCATGAGATAATTCCTATAAATGCGTGTTTAAGATTGTAAATGTCACATTTCCTCCGACGCAGCCACTGCTTATTCATCGTTTATTCAACATTTTGGAAACAAAAATACATGCCGAGTCCGATTTTTTTCAGTCAAACTGCTAAATTTAGAGTGTCCCATTTTAACATGGCTATAATGTACAGGTCCTGCTCCGCTAATGTCAGCGAGGTGATTAATGTTCGTATCAAGCCCAACCAAAGTAACATGTCAACCATTACCAGGCACAGCACATAAGAATAGTGTGGTAACATTAGCAGCAAGCAATTTACATCTATTTTATTCTGAATGAAAGGTTAGGTTTAAACAAGGCAATGGTGTTAGTCAGTCAAGCTGTTGTTTCATTGCTTTATTCATCATTTGTATTATTATAGCATTATTATTATTGGACTGTTTTATTTCCTTTTTTGGGGTTGAGTGCGTGAGTTGTAGTAGTAGTAGCAGTAGTAGTAGTAGTTGTTCTTGTAGTAGTAGTAGTAGTAGTAGTAGTAGTAGTTGTAGCAGTAGTGAGTGAGTGAGTGAGTGAGTGAGTGAGTGAGTGAGTGAGTGAGTGAGTGAGTGAGTGAGTATGGTTTTACGCCACTTTGAGCAATATTCCAGCAATATCACGGCGAAAGAAATGGGCTTCACACATTGTACCCATGTCGGAAATCAAACCCGGGTCTTCAGCATGACAAGCGAACGCTTTAACCACTAGGCTACCCGACCGCCCCAGTAGTAGTAGTAGTAGTAGTAGTAGTAAGTAGTAGAAGTAGTAGTAGTAGTAGTAGTAGTAGTAGTAGTAGTAGTAGTAGTAGTAGTAGTAGTAGAAGTAGTAGTAGTAGTAGTAGTAGTAGTAGTAGTAGTAGTAGTAGTAGATATGACAGCGGTTCTTGTTTACTTAAGGTGCATTGTCCCAGTAGCAATTTCTTATAACAAAGTAGCTCAAAACAAATTTTGTTTTTTAAGCCAAGTACAACTCACAAGATTCTCACTCATTTCTTGTCATGGATGGATAAAGCTAATAGATTGTTCCGATTCATTTTAAGGGAAATCAAGCTTCTTAAGTTAACACAAACGTTTGTGTTTGTTTGTGGTTTCACGACGCACTCAGCAATATTCTAGCTATATGACAGCAGTCTGTAAAATAATCGAGTTAAAATTTAAAGTCACACTGGTGGTATTAAAGCCATACTATGACAAGTTCTACATTAATAATTTATAAATTATGACTCTTTCAAACCTGTTGACAAAGAACAGTAGGTTGTAGTAGTAGTTTCTACAGTGCTCATGTAGTAGTAAGTTAAGGTAAAAACAAAATTTTAGATTTTAAAATATATCACGATATCTAGAGTAAAGGTTGGATAACTTATAGCTGTGGTCGTATCCCACTCCACATAATACTAACTCAGTGACAGTAGCCAGCACATGTAAATAACAAAACGACTAGTCAGTCAGTGCTGCCACAACTGTGCACATACACACAACACTGCCACAAGGTCCTGTACATCCATGGCAGGGCTGGAATATTGCTGACTCCATCACAAATAACACCTCGAACAAACTGAACTTGTTTATTGGTCCTATAAATATCAGAAAACACATCGCCTGATCATGTGCCTCGTTCATCTGACAGAGTAAAGTATTGTTTCCAGGCTCCAGAGCTTCTTTCAAAGTTCATTCATGAATCAAAATTAAAATCTGTGTTTTTTAAAACAAATTTTTTAAACGTACAATTAAGGACGAGTCCATTCAGGGCTTCCTACAGGCAAGCCGGATGTAGCCTTGTAAACACTTCCCGAACCGGGATCTGCCACCCCACCCTTGTATTGCTGAGAGAACATGGTGAAGTGGCCACCACCATCCAGTAAAGTAACACAACGTAACATTCCAAAGTTCAGTAGGAAACCACAGTCTCCACATATATCCTTCATATTTTCTTAAATTAGTACTCCCATGACACGAACAATATACAGGCAAATAAGTCAAATCTTAATTTGTGTTTAAGCTTGTTTGTTTGTTGTTGTTGGAAACAAGTCTGATTGAAATGTTAGCAAAATATTAACATGCATGCAACACACTGAAAAAAATGATCATTTGAATGTGTACATGAGGTATACATTATTTAGAACCTCTTAAGATTTGTTTGTTTATTTGTTGTTTGATGCTGCACTTTGCAATATTCCAGCTATATGACGGCGGTCTCTAAATAATCAAGTCTGGACCAGACAATCCAGTGACTGACATCATGAGCATCGATCCACACAATTGGGATACGATGACATGCATCAACCAAGTCAGCAGTCTGACCACCCGATCCCATAAGTCATCTCTTATGACAAGCATGGGTTGCAAAAGACCAATTCTGACCTAGATCTTCACAGCAGAATTAGTGTTTAAAGGTTGCAATTAATTGCAAATACACTTATGTAATTTCTGTAAGATTAAATGCAGATTAAAAAAAAATCAGATATATATTTTGAGTGATGTAAGGCCATGTCATGTCCACCCATCTCAACTCCATTTGTCCAGTCATTCCTTCAAGTTCTGGTACACAAGGGCAGATAACTCTTACCATAAGTCAGTGGCAAGTCACTAGTGAGCATCATAGAAGTCATGTGAGATAAACACAGGTTAAACCAGTGACGTCACTACTATGTGACATCACGTTCTTCATTCTGGCTCTGTGCACTGTTCACGTTCGACCTATATCTTCCTGTAAAGCTATACAATGATGTCATACGTCTGATTATTATGCCATATACAGTAAACTACGTTTATAATGATCACGCTTAAAACGAACTGACGGATATAAGTTTTTTATCCCGTTTATTTGCTGTATATACGCTGTATATAGGATTATAACGAACTACGGTTATAACAAACTAAAATGGTGGTCCCTTTGGGGTCGTTATAACAGTAGTTTATACTGTACTCAGCTGAAATAGAAATACAGTAAACTACGTTTATAACGAACACGCATATAATGAACTACGGTTATTACGAACTAAAATTAGTGGTCCCCTCAAGTTCGTTATAACCGTAGTCTACTGTATGTAAATAAAAAATGTGAAATTTTATTATGTATTGTGTTATATTCACAATTACGTATATTTGTATATATTATGTGTCTCACATTACAATCAAATATAATAAACAATTCTCATTTTCCTAAAAATCTTTCACCCATAGCCAATTGAGGAATATATTTTCCCTTCACAGCCAACTGAGGAATATTTTTCTCTTTACAGCCAACTGAGGAATATTTTTCTCTTCACAGCCAACTGAGGAATATTTTTCTCTTCACAGCCAACTGAGGAATATTTTTCTCTATATAGCCAACTGAGGAATATTTTTCTCTTAACAGCCAACTGAGGAATATATTTCTCTTCACAGCCAACTGAGGAATATTTTTCTCTTTACAGCCAACTGAGGAATATTTTTCTCTTCACAGCCAACTGAGGAATATTTTTCTCTTTATAGCCAGTTAAGGAATAGTTAATAGTATTGTTACAAATATTACACATCACAAGTGTGTCAGACAACAGGTCTGACAATGCTGATACAGCGTCATGATCAGAATACATAATTCATATTTACATGTCTGCCAGTTGTGTTGTGTAAATGTGTCACATTTCTCCTGCCTCATGCAGGGAGCAAGCAGAATAAAATTAAGTTTCAAATATCTAAAAAGAAATTATCATGCATGTGTATTATATATTTGCATTCTGGTCTTTAAAGTCAATTACCAACTACAATTCATTTCATTCATTCACAAATCTTCACATATTTCTTGGACATACAAAACTACCAAATTGAGTTTACCATATATGGTATTTGAGTTAGTAATCCAACAATTAATCATAACACATTAAAATGAAAGAAAGTACTTATGAAGTCCAATATTTATGTATGTTAATTGAGTCTGACATCTTAATATAAATCTTAGCCTGTAAATTTCAAATCACATCAGTACATAAAAAATATCGGTCACCATATATGGTAATCTTACCCATAATACATCTTGAACTTCATCTGCACAGATCTGATAGGATACAGAACCGTCATGGTAACCATAGGCAGGGGATCCAAAATCCATGGTGTATAATCCAGTTATCGAATATCAGAGTTGACCACAAAAACACAAGAAGTGGCTTGTGGTGAGAGGAGGATAGTGGAAGTGCGTCTTGTTGCGTGAGTCACTAATATCATTCCTTCATCACAAGCTTGGGATGAAGCATGTGACTGAGAAAAAATACAATCACAAAATAAAATCTACACTCTAAGTTTGCCAGCCATTAAGGTGTAGTGTTGATAGGTGATCTGAGAGGGGTATCTAGGTTAAAGTTGTCCAGACTTGAGGTATGAGGTTTGCCTTAAAGGAATGGTCATTATTCTACACAGCTTGCGGCAGCAACAGTAACAGCCCTGACTCAATCATAGTGGTAAAGGTTGAGAGGCAACTCCACGCTACTTGACAAATCAAACGTGAGTGGAACATGTATGGTTAGTTATCACAACGGAAGAAAGACACATCAAGCTTTGATGGCAACAGCTCTGTACAGTCAGCAACAACAAGTTCCACTTTCTTGCTTCATGACTCTCCCTTTCACTGATAAAGCCCACTTCTGCACCGACTGCCCGCCCCACCGCCAGCTCCAACATGTGCACAACCTACCTCCCTATCTGATGCATGGCAGCAGACACAAGCATACACACACAGAATGGCAGACGCACAGTGGCAGACGCGAACATTACAATCTACCTAGAGCCTAGGAAGGAAAGTAAACTGGCATCCAACTGACTGAATGTCATAGCCAAGGGAGGTGGAAGCGTTATGACCACTGCGAATATGTTTGTAGTTTTGCATAGGTGGAGCAGACGTACTTGTAGATTAAGGCAAAAAGCAGACAGAAAAAACAACAGAGGAAATGATAAAGAGGGGATGTGAACTTTATAACTGCCTGTTATTGCCAGAGGAGGGAGATGACCACAGATTGTATGAACAAAACACTTCGGCAGCAGCCGTTGATGAGAGTGGATATGAAGGTAAAGCGGCCGCGAGGCAGCAGCAGACGTGTAAAGGGAACGTGAGGGCAACATACAGATCTGAACCTGCCCCGTGTCAAGTTTTCTGCAGGGAAAACTGGGAGCACTTGCATAATTTTTTATATAAACACAGACTCAGAATGTGGTAAGGGTAAGTGAGTGAACTTCGTTGTTTCATGCCTCTATAACCCCACAGCTGTACCACAGCTATGTCAGAGCCATATCACAGCCATACCACAGCCATATCAGAAGCAAATCGCTGCTATATCAGAGCAGTATCGCAGCCATACTGCAGCCACATCACAGCAACATTGCAGCAATATTGCAGCAATATCACAGCCATTTCTCAGTTATAATTACAGCCATACCAAAGCCCGGATATATCACACCCATATCGCTGCCATATTGCAACAATATCATAGCCATAACAAAGCTCTTAAGCCATATCACAGCCATATCGCAGCCACATCACAGCAACATCGCTGCCATATTGCAACAATATCATAGCCATAACGAAACTCTTAAGCCATATCACAGCCACATCACAGCAACATCGCTGCCATATTGCAACAATATCATAGCCATAACAAAGCTCTTAAGCCATATCACAGCCATATTGCAGCAACATCACTGCCATATTGCAACAATATCATAGCCATAACAAAGCTCTTAAGCCATATCACAGCCATATCGCAGCCACATCACAGCAATATTGCAACAATATCATAGCCATAACAAAGCTCTTAAGCCATATCACAGCCATATTGCAACCATATTGCAGCCATATATGGAATTAATCAAGTCTAGACCATGCATAGTAGTGGTTGACAGTATGACAGTAAAAGGTATCAGGTCACGATGACCTACAGTCAGCCAGGTCACACATTGTAACCTTTTGATCCCAGCCTAAAGTTTCCATTTTAGTATTATTGTTAATGTCAAATATGAAATTGCTGAAAACAAATGATTGACCTGTTGGCAAAATCTTACAGCAAGCACATAGCCCTCAGACACAAACAGTCATTTGATTGTTTACATGTGGTATTGCTTAAGTTTGTTTGCTTGTTGTTTGACGCCGCACTCAGCCATATTCCAGCTATATGACGGCGTCCTGTATATAATCAAGTCTGAGCCAGACAATCCAGTGATCAATATTGTGAACAATAATCCATGCCATTGGGGTAGAATGACACGCCAATAACAGGGTATGAAACTCCCAAAAATTTCAGCCAGACCACAGGACTGGCTAGCTGAAATACTTGCCAGCCCTGACCAAAACCTGCCTGCCCACTATAATCATATGTTTCTCAGGATAAGCTAACGGGATTTCTTTTTGGTTACATTTTATCATTCATCTTTACATGTGAATTAATGATTATCATCGGGAAATATTTAGAATATTGTCACATATGAAATATAACCCGACCGTCGGGCAGGGGGATTTGAAAATCTGGCAGCCCGAGTTGAAATCAACCCGTCTCGGACGGTCGGGCAGGCAGGTATTTCGAACACTGCCAATAACCAAGTCAGCGAGCCTGACCTCCCGATCCATTTGTTCACCTCTCACTACCTCTCAGCAATTCTAACCCGGAATACTCCAATATTTCCATTTCTAATATGGACAGTCCATGATCATCTTCTTTGATATGGATGAACCTCATTAATCTGGATAGTCTATTGCGCAGCCAATTTAATCTGGATTATCTATAGAAGAACCTCCTTAATCTAGACATCCTATAGATGAACCTCTTTAATTTGTATAGTCCAAAGATGAACCTCTTTAATTGTATAGTCCAAAAATGAACCTCTTTAATCTGAATAGTTTATAGATGAACCCCATACATTTCAATAGTCCATAGATGAACCTCTTTAATCTGGACAGTCTATAGCAGAGCCCATTTAAATTCAACAGTCTATAGATGAATCTCTTTAATTTGAATAGTTTATAGATGAACCCCATAAATTTCAAAAGTCCATAGATGAACCTCTTTAATCTGAAAATCCTATAGATGAACCTCTTAAATCTGGACAGTCTATAGCAGAGCCTATTTAATCTGAACAGTCTATAGATGAACCTCTTTAATCTGGACAGCCTATAGCAGAACCTATTTAATCTGAACAGTCTATAGATGAATTTCTTTAATTTGAATAGTTAATAGATGAACGTCTTTGATCTGAAAATCCTATAGATGAACCTCTTTAATCTGGACAGCCTATAGCAGAACCTATTTAATTTGAACAGTCTATAGATGAATCTCTTTAATTTGAATAGTCCATTGATGAACATCTTTAATCTGAAAATCCTAAAGATGAACCTCTTTAATCTGGCCAGTCCATAGCAGAGCCTATTTAATCTGAACAGTCCATAGATGAACCTCTTTAATTTGAATAGTTTATAGATAAACCTCTTTAATCTGGACAGTCCATAGCAGAGCCTATTTTATCTGAACAGTCTATAGATGAATCTCTTTAATCTAGACAGTCCATAGATGAACCTCTTTAATTTGAATAGTTTATAGATGAACCTCTTTAATCTGAAAATCCTAGATGAACCTCTTAATCTGGACAGTCTATAGCAGAGCCTATTCAATCTGAACAGTCTATAGATGAACCTCTTTAATTTGAATAGTTTATAGATGAACCTCTTTAATCTGAAAATCCTAAAGATGAACCACTTTAATCTTATAGATGAACCTCTTTAATTTGAATAGTTTATAGATATATCCCCATAAATTTTAATAGTCTACAGATGAACCTCTTTAATCTGGACAGTCTATAGCAGAGCCTATTCAATCTGAAAAGCCTACAGATGAATCTCTTTAATTTGAATAGTTTATAGATGAACCCAATAAATTTCAATAGTCCATAGTCCATGTTATCCAAATAGTCTAAAGATGAACCTCTTTAATCAGAGAAGTCAATTGTGAAACATCTTTAATCAGAGAAGTCATATGTGAAACATCTTTAATCAGAGAAGTCAATTGTGAAACATCCTTAATCAGAGAAGTCAATTGTGAAACATCTTTAATCAGAGAAGTCAATTGTGAAACATCTTTAATCAGAGAAGTCAATTGTGAAACATCTTTAATCAGAGAAGTCAACTGTGAAACATCTTTAATCAGAGAAGTCAGTTGTGAAACATTTTTAATCAGAGAAGTCAATTGTGAAACATCTTTAATCAGAGAAGTCAACTGTTAAACATCTTTAATCAGAGAAGTCAACTGTGAAACATCTTTAATCAGAGAAGTCAATTGTGAAACATCCTTAATCAGAGAAGTCAATTGTGAAACATCCTTAAACAGAGAAGTCAATTGTGAAACATCTTTAATCAGAGAAGTCAATTGTGAAACATCCTTAATCAGGGCAATCAATAGTTCAACCTTCCTAGTGAGAGAATTCGATCCTGGGACCTCTTTAATCTGGACTAATAATAGTGAAACCTCCTTCATCAGGGATGTCTTTTTCCCCTGTAGTCCAGGTTAAAAGGTTTCATGATTAACAAGGAATACATACCAACCATGAACATCTTGAGATGTATTCCCATAAGTCGATAACTGTATTCTGAGTAATCAAACTCATGATCATCAGACATGTTAAACATATTCTTGCTATTTTCAAATGTTCTACCTGCTACCACCCCATGACACTATAAACAACCCCCTTCCCCCTCCTGGTCTATAGGTGTAAGCAGAGACCATATACCGATCTCTGGTGTAAGCAACACCTACCTCCAACATCCCTCCCAACAGGTGCCCCCTCTCCCCTCCCCACTAGCAGGTCATGACAAGGTCAAGGACCGGCCAATGTCAGCTATATACACCAAGTGTGAGATAATTGTGTTTATACCACACCAAAGTTAAGAGACCATTCCAATTGGAGGTATACTTGCAGATAACCCACCAGAGAAGAAAGGGCATGTAGGATCTGCCTTTAATTAGCCTGCAGGGTCAAAATGGACTCTGACCCTTTCGTGTGGGGGGTAATTATTCTCAACAACTGTTTCAAATGAGACCAGAAGTTTATGACAACAGTTTGATTAGGGGCATGTCATAAACTTATGTCTACCCAGTTTAGGAAATAAAAGCAGCTTCCCTATTAAGTTCATTACCAGTATTTCAAAATTTGTTCAAAATCTATGATTGTTTTAGCATCCAAACTTTTTGAAAATGATTTTCAAAACTTTCCAGTTTCGAGAAATTTTGGTATTTTTCTTTCCTAAAACAAATTTTGTTATAAGAACAGTCATTTTAAAGCCTTCATAAGAGGAAAAATCCCATGTAAGTGGATTTTGGCTTAGTTTACAGTGGTCCATTCACCTCTTCATTAATGGTTTGACTGGAGTACATGAACATATCATTGGAGAGCTGGAGTTGACATATGGGGACATCCCAAACCAATGTCGACATGACAGGGGGAGTGAGTAAGGTCTTACATTGTATGACACATTAATTTCATGATTTACAACTGTGATGTTTCGACCCTTTGGGGTAGATACTGGCACAATAGGCCTTTTCCACAGTTCCGAATTTAAGGCCTTTTCATGGCAGGACTACCAGATTCAAGGCTTCTCTAAACCCTATTATGGTAGGACTACCA